ATAGCAGTGGTTGATGTGGATTATAATATTATATTTAGTAAATATTTTCTGTAGTGTCTTTATCCAAGGAGAAAGCAAGAATACTTTTTACGAAGCCAGTTAAGAATTTTTTTTTATTAAACGCCGCCCGGATATCTGCTATACTCGTATATAAATAAAAAGACATCATTTTCTAAGGAACATTTTTAAGAAAGATGTAATAGAGAATTTGCATTAATTTTAAAATATCAGCGATAGTGTGATGAGGTGCTACTGGGGCATATATATATATATATATATATATATATATATATATATATATATATATATATATATACATATAATTTTGAAAAAAAATTTTTTGTGTGTGTTTCAACGGGCCCCTAGATGGCTTAAATTCGACTTTTGGACGCGGTAGGTGGCGCTGTCATCGAGATCCAAAAGTCTCTCTACTCGTGTAAAGCCGGGCCGGATCTCTAGTAAAATATAATATGTAAAAATTCCCTGATGGGTGAAGCCGGGGGGTTCACGGGCCGAATCCCTTTTATTTTAAGTATATAATATTAACATCGAATAATATTTTGTTTTTTGAAGCCACTAAACAAGTTAAGTCATGTTCGTTTGCCAATTTAAATCACTCAACCATTGCAAACACATTTGCTTGACCTACAAACAAAATTTTAATTAGAGGTAGTTAACACATATCTTTCCTAATTTCGTTTTAATTGTTTGGGTTCCGCTCTCTTTCGAGTCGACCCTTATATAATTTCGTTCTGTCCGTCTGTTTTGTGTGCTACAACATCATAACTTCTAGAGACTTGGATATTACGTCACAATTTTATAATAAAATAAGTGATTTTTTTTAAATAATTTTATATATAACAGGTTACTTGTGAGCTATGTTCAAACTTTTAAGTATTCTACTCATCGGGAAGCGCTCCTTGAGTTGCAAGATTTCCACCGCGAACGACAGATGTCGTTCGGGGTGGAATCTTGCAACTTCTTGTTTCTTTCTTGTTTGTCTGTTTAGATAAACAGACAAACAAGATAGTCACTTAATAAAAAAGTGGTAAAAATTTCAAAATATAGTTTGTATTCACTTCTGTTACACATAAACATGGAATGTGAATTTTTTTTGACTTATATGCATATCGAATCAATAGTGTTTTTAAATAACTAGGAGATTACTCAAACTGAAACAAATGAAAATGAAATGAAAATATTATTATGCTAGGAGATTTTAATGGAAGGGTTGGGGTGAGGAGGCTTGGTTATGAAAGGATATTGGGAACGTTTGGTGATGAAAGTATAAATGAGAATGGTGAAAGTCTCCTCACCGTATGTATGGAAAAGAATCTTTTTGTGACGAACACTTGCTTTCGCCACAAGAGGATTCACATGTATACTTGGGAAAGAGGTGACAATAGAAGCATGATAGATTTCATAATTGTGGATGAAAGAATGAGGGGCGCAGTGGTAGATACAAAGGTTTACCGGGGTTCTAACGTAGGAACGGATCATTATTTGGTTTTATGCCGAATTAATGGTCTATTCAAGCGTTGGCGCCATCGATCATCTCTGTCTACCACTGCGTTACAGCGTATTAGAACAGAAAGGTTACAAGATGAAGGTGCGAAAAACAAGTTCAAATGTAGACTGAAAGAAAATATAAGTGGTTTGGATGAATTATGTACGAAGGAGTTAGACTTGGAGAATGTATGGCAAAACGTAAAGAAAGGTTTAGTGAATGCAGCTACCGAAGTATGTGGTGTTAGTAAGAGAAAGAATGAAAGGAAAAATAATACGTTATGTTGGGATGATATGAGATACGTATGGAAGTTGAAGCAAAGAAGAGAGCATGGCTAGATTTACTAGCAACAAAGGCTGGTGATTCTAGCGGTATAAATGATTATATTGAAAGAAAAAAGGCAGTCTTTAGACATCTTAATAAGAGAGTAAAAGAAGTAGTTGAAAGAAAAAAGCAAGAAAGAACGGATAAGAATGATAGAAATATTTCGCATAACTTCCAGGCAAATATTAAAATGTTCTAGAAACTTGTAAGAACTGCCAGGGGACCTTCAAAACAGCCTAGGATGAATGCTATAAGAGACGAGAATGGCTATATTCTGAATGATGAAGTTTTGAGTTTAAAGAGATGGAAGGAATATTTTGAAAGCGTGTTTATGAGTGAGGAGACAACGTGTGTACTAAGTGAAGTAGAAACTCCGAAAGAAGAGGAAAGAGGTAGCGAGATAATTATAGATGAAATAATGAAAGCAATGAAAAGCATGAAAGCAGGTAAGGCTGTCGGATATGATAGAGTTTCACTCGAAATGCTAAGGGCTGGAGAGGAAGTCGTGGCAGGCCTGCTGCACACCTTGTTTAATTTATGCTGGGAACTGAAGCGGGTACCGGTAGACGGGTGCAAAGCCGTGGTAGTCCCAGTATATAAGGGAAAAGGGTGGCAGCAGGACTGTAAAAACTACCGTGGTATCAGCCTTCTTAGCATTGTGGGAAAACTGTATGCTAAGGTACTAATTGAAAGGGCATGAAAGAAACTGATGGAAAATTTTGGGATGTGCAAGGGGGATTTAGAAAGGGAATGGGATCTACAGATCAAGTCTTTTCCATGCGCATGATCGCGGAGAAGTTTTTGGCCAAAAACCAAAAGGTTTTTTGTGCGTTCATGGACTTGGAAAAGGCCTATGACAGAGTGGATAGGGATGTGCTATGGCAAACACTGAACTCATTTGGGTTGAGCGCTGGCTTGATACAGGCATTGGAGTCTCTTTATAGGGACTCTAGTGCTTGTGTTAGGATCAACGGGGTCTACTCGGACTGGTTTGACATCCATAAAGGTGTCAGACAGGGCTGTGTTGCTTCCCCGTGGCTGTTCAACCTATTTATGAACAGTTGTTTGCAAAATTTGAAAGTTGAAGAATGCGGTTTAAGAATGGGTGAGTTAACCGTCAAATGCCTTTTGTACGCCGATGATCAAGTTATCCTTACGTCGTCGGCGGCCGAATTGCAAATGATGGTTACATTAATGAACAGATCATTAAAAGAAAGGGGTATGAAATAGAACGCAAGAAGACGAAGGTTATGGTTTTTGAAAGAGAAGAAAGTAAAACGATTTGTGAAATAAGAATAGAAGGGGAGTTGATCGAGCAAGTAGATGAGTTTGTATATTTGGGCTGCGTATTTAGCAGGGATGGGAGATATGATAAGGATATAGAACGACGAGTGAATACGGGAAATAGAGTAAATGGGGCCCTGCACTCTATTGTGAAGAGTCGAAATGTGTCAAAAAAGGCACCTATGGCAATTCACAATGCTGTGTTGGTCTACTTTAACGTATGCTAGTGAAAGTTGGGTGTGGCAGAAGAAGCACGAGAGTAGAATCAACGCACTAGAAATGCGGTCGTTAAGGAGTATGTTAGGGTTGAATCTGAACGACAGGGTAAGAAATTGTGTAATAAGAGAAGAGTGTGGTTTGCAAGATGATGTTGTGACCAGGATTAAGAAAGGAATGCTTCGGTGGTTTGTTCATGTGGAAAGAATGAATGAGGAAAGAGTGACAAAGAAAATTTACGTTGCAGAAGTGAATGGCAGAGTCGGAAAGGGACGTCCTAGGCGAAAATTTATCGACCAAATTGGCGATTTATTGAAAACGGGCCAAATTAGGAGTACCCTTAACCGACGAGCATGTATGCGTAGGTGTATGGATGTGAAGGAGGCGAGAGAGGTGTGTCAGGATCGTGCCAAATGGAAGTCTGTAGTCTCTGCCTACCCCTCTGGGTGACAGGCGTGAGTATTTATGTTATGTTATTACTCAAACTACCATAAAAATTTATTAATTACTATTTTATTTAATCTGCAATAGTGCTTCATTTGTTACTGCTTGCGTACATTACCAATTCGGAAATATAAAATATATTATCGCAACAAATGCGTGATTTGTGATTATATGAATGTGAGTACTTACTGTCACTAAAAAGACAACTCTAGTTTTCCGGTAATAGGTACCTACTCGTACTTTGTATTTGCATTGAACATAGTGAGTAAAGGCAGATGTATAATGTAGCCAACATCTTTTTCATGCAATTTCGTCAAAATTTTATAATATAACAAGAATATAAAGAAAATAGAAATTTACTTATAGCTTTTAGAAGGTCAAACTAAAACAAAAAAAAAACATTCGTCGTGAAAATATCTACACAAATAAAGAAAATTTAAGTGTCTGTTTGTAATATAAAAACAACAGCTTTATAATAAATGCATATGAAAGTATATGGTACTTTAACAAAAACACAATTTTAAAAAAAATCTGTGTCTACCCGTTTGTTCGTCTGTCTGTTTGTTCCGGTTAATCTCCGAAACGGCTGAACCAATTTTGACGGGACTTTCACTGGCAGGTAGCTGATGTTAAAAGGAGGAACTTAGGCTACTATTTTAGTAAAAACTGAAGTTTCTCTCAAAAGTACTAAAACCCAAAAACACAAGCGAAGACACGGAGAACAGCTAAGCTTAAATAAGTTAATAAATGTCCCATGGGCACAGGTCTCCTCTTGTTATTGTGATAAAGAATGAATAGTCAGTATATATTAAAGGAGTAGAGAAGGAACAAGACTCTCTGATACTCTCTCTCTCTCTGATATATAAGGTCGGGTTAAAAGTTTCTTCGTATTTTATATGTATACAAATTCAAGACATTTTTTTCCAAAGTTTATTACATTTAATTACAATATGTGCCACTTTGTTCGATAATTTGTTGCCACCTAGTGATTAGGAACATAATCCCGTTGCTGTAGGAATTTAAAAAAATGCGATAAGTAGTTTTGACAGTCCTCTCTTGATGTTAACAACACTACACAAAGATTTCTGAAGAGACCGAAACAGGTGAAAATGTGAGGGTGCAAGGTTAGGTATTTGGGTAATGGGTTAGTCAAACTTATTTTAGAGAAGCTTAAACCCCACCGATGTTTTTATTTTTTATTTTAAGCCGGACTTATTCCTTGCAGACGTACAAGACTTGTCAGCCAAGCTGAAGTTAATGGAGGCGGGCGGCGAAAGTCCGGCCGAGCCGGTAATGGCCACCGATCACATCTACTGTAACATACATGTAGGAAAAGACGCCCTGCTAGGTAAGTCTAAAATATTAGTCAGTAATTTTCACATACCCCGCGGTGGAAGGAAGGAACACGGCGACAATAGATTGGCCGTTTAGATATTTCTCAGACATGCAGGTTTTCTGATGATATTTTCCTTCACCGCCAATACAATGCTTACAAAGCACTTAAAGTTATTTCGGTTTTATTGGCACGGACAAGGTTCGAAATCGGTTGTGAAATTTTATGAGGAGCGCTTATCCTTTGAGCAAATACTATATTTATATTCTCTATGCCTCTAAGCTAACGCTGCTCTTTATTATTATATTATGTATATACCTATTATAATTTTATTGTGGCAGAGACACGCTACAGTTATATAATGGTCGCAGCACGAATGGGTCAGCTCGGCCGGAAAAGGAACTCGCTCACGAAATACGCAGCGTTATGTTGCTGTGTTTCGTATGGCGAGTGTATAAAACCGGAGATCTTCTTTATTGGTAAGGGGGCATTATTTCAAAGTAAGCCTAAAGCAAAATTTGGTTGCATTTAGCCTGATTGATAGTCATTAGTTGTCCAGTGAAAAGCTATCTACTTGTTTAGACAGATAATAAATATTCTGGGGGGGGGGGGGGGGGGCAGACAAACCTATGTGTAGATAAATTGTATTGACGTAAAGCATAAATGATAAGAAGTTTAAGTAGTTTTGTACTTATACATATTAAATCACTTCAGAAAGAAAAGAACTTATTTATAAGTCTCTTTTTTAGCATTTATATTTTAAACAAATAATAATATAATGATTTCTTAAATTTACGCGAACACTACACATTGAATAAAACTAAATTTACGGATTCTATCGCGTTTATTTAACTGATTTTACTTATTTTTAATTCCCGACGTTTCATCATATAGGTCAAACAAAAAGATCCATAAAAACCCGCGTGAAAGAACATATAGCTGACGTGAAGCACCGACGCTCCGGGAAGTTTGCAGTCTGTGAACATGTTCATGATCGTCCCCACCATTACATCAGATTTGATAAACCACAAATCCTCGCAAAAAGAACACCGATTGCTACCAAGGATGATACGTGAGGCTATTGAAATTAAAAAACATCCTAATTTCAATAGAGAAGGTTGGGTGCTGCCATCTGCTTGGGATCCTATAATTAACAAAATTAAACCCAAACCCAAGCATACTACTGCAAGACTTCAAGATACTGTAAATTCGTTTTGCGTACATCGGACCAAAAATTAATATTCAAAAACTGAAGGTAGCCGGGCTAACAATGACATTGGGACGTCAAACATCTCAGTCCCCCCCCCCGTGCCCATGGTTGCTGTAAAGCACCCGAAACGTCGGGAATTAAAAATAAGTAAAATCAGTTAAATAAACGCGATAGAATCCGTAAATTTAGTGTTATTCAAATAATTACTTACTTACTTATCTTCACGCACAATCCCTAACGGGGTAGCCAGAGAGAACAGATCGCCAAGTGTCACGATCCTTACATACCTCTTTCGCTTCTTTCAGGTTCATTAACTTCTTCATACATGCACGTCTAGGTATCCGAGTACTCTTGACCCACCCCTCTTCGAGCAATTTGCTCACATGGTCTTCGAAAGTTAGTCTCGGTCTACCTCGACACCTTTTAATATTTACTTTCGCTCTATATATTTTCTTCACCATTCGGTCTTCACTCATTCGTTCAACGTGCCCAAACCATTGGAGTACGCCCCTATAATTTTTTGTGATAAGGTCATCTTTCAATCCTGCCATATTGCGAATCTCTTCGTTTCGCTTTCGGTCGGCTAAGGTAACGCCACACATTTTACGAAGAGATCGCATCTCCACTGCATTCAACTTGCTTTTATGCTTCTTCTGGCATACCCAGGTTTCGCTGCCATATAACAAAGTCGGTACCAACACTGCATTATGTATTGCAAGGCGTGCACTCTTCACCACGCCTTGCCTTTTTACTAATGCATTCAGGGCACCATTGACTTTGTTTCAGGCAGCGACACGCCTATCCACATCTAAATCACATCTTCCATCCCGGCTGAAAGCACTCCCCAAGTATACAATTTCATTTACCTGTTCTAGACATTCCTGATTTACCCATATTTCACATTTCGTTCTCTCTTCGTCCTTTTCAAATACCAGTTATTCAAATAATAATATTTTAAATAATTTTTTTATCATAGATCGATTCAAAGTTAAGTAAAATATATTCACTATTATATTGACATTAATGCGTAGGTTACTAATATATCTAATCAGCTTTACTTTGACGTATAAAAGGAAACGAAAAGTATTCTATATTAGAAATAAATTTAAACCTAAAAAGGAATATTTATAGCATCGTAAGTGTAATATGCGTTAACAGTGCGGGTTCGAACGAGGTTTTACTGGCTGCCTGGGCATCATGCCAGCCATTTTTAAACACAAACGTGTGGGCGATGTTGTTCGAGGACAGATGAACGTCTGTAAACTTTTCCAGGGGTCACGTTTGTAACAGTAAATTTGTAAATTTTTTTAATAGAATAAGTGTGACAATTCTCCGACATGAGAGATACTCTCATCTCAGAGAGAAGCTATGCATGATTACAAGATATCGTTTAGGTACCTACTACCTTTACAAAATACATTTACTTATATAATATTGCATAAAAGAACAGGTATTTTACTATAACTAAATTTAATTTTATTGTATCTAAAAATACGTGTGGCACTCGGTGACTGCCGCGGTAAAGCTATTGCATAGCATTTTTTTATCAACTTATGCAATTATAATTATTTATTTATTTTATTTATGCAGTTAAGTCTTTGATATTAAATCAAGTTACACTTTTTGAGCGTGGTGACTGATAAGAAAACAATTTTTTTTCTCTCATTGAATAAATGAGAAGTTAATATTGTTTAAAATATTTTTAATATCTTACAATACATGTAAAGTCACGCACACAAACACCGTGCCGAAGTCTGCCGAGTGCCGAAGTCCGCCGAACTAAAACGACGTTAGACGATGCACGGCTTGCAACGCCACACCTCCGTGCCCGTCGGAGTGGGGAGCGTGAGGTTTTTTTCGTTACGGAATTTCTGGATTCGGTCCCCACGCTCAAGGCCCGCGATAGAAGCTATGCAATAGCTTAAAAAGTTAGGTACAAAGATTGTAATTGTGGTTATTCATTTTTTACATCTGCTTCAAGAAAATGTGTATATCTCTATAATGATTGATTTACATTCACATTTAATACGAATACTAGACATTTAATAAAAGTAATTTAAGGAATTTTATTGCTTACAACTGAACTTATTTTTAATTTGGAAATGGAAAGACGGGAATTTTATAACAATTAAACGCGACATAATTCTTAAAATTAGTTTTATTAAATGTGTCCTATCTTCTTTTTTGTTTTTTTTTTTTAACGTTACCTCCACACTAAAATTTTCACCTATATCGTGGGGGCAGCTTACATACATAAATTTCACAAGAACAAACATCCAGGCCCGGAACAATTACTTGTAGGCCATACAAATACTTGTTCAGTGCGGGATTCGAACCCGCATCCCCTTTGCGCTATAACTTATTACTATGCCACCCCGCCACGGAGCCGTCATTATTTTTTTCTAACAGTATTAGTGTTTTCAATATGTTTCAATATGTTAGTATGCAATATTTTACGAATTTATCTAGCAATAACCTTCACCTACTTAATAGGTCGCCGGCAGTGATTACTTAGTTGTCCAGCTGCTCGATTTGTCTAACACGGTAACACAACGTTCCTTATACGTGTGTCCGTTAATATCAGAGGACATACGCAAGGTCAGTGTGTCACCTAATCAGGATTAGATGTAATACAATAAGCAACCATGTAACCGGCCATATGCGTTATAGGTACAATACGGCCGACGTATCTTGGCGAGTCTGCTCTGCGAAGTTTAGCGCATGAACACTCGTGAAGAAAACTGTTATTGTCATTTTTTTATATATACCAATGTACAAATAAAATTTCCCTAATACAGTGACCAAAAATATCAAAACACTTTGGAGACATTATAAATTAAAGATTCAATTTTGATACCTCACCTTTCGATAGGGGCAGATTTTATCACAAACACATACAATATTATTTACATTTAATACTTTTTATTTATTTACACTTATTATTATTTAATCACTGTCGCTGAGGGCGGAAATTCCTAACATAAAGTCGTCGGCCCCTTGTGTACCATGTGAGGTACTTGGCATAGGTTCATCTTCGTAATCGTCGCTCTCACTTTCAGACTCACTTTCTGAATCTGAAGCTGTATTAATGATGAATAATTGATCCGTCATTTCGTCAATAATATGGTCGCTCTTCCTATAGTCATGTTCGACCTCTTGCACTTTTCTGCATAAAGCACTCCATTCATTCTGACCCATTAAATTTACTTTTTCTTGTATGAGCTCCATTGTCCGGGTTACGTTCCAGTCGACGTTTTTAGCGGCTACGTGCCCTTTAATGGCAGCCCACACCATCTCGATGGGGTTTAAATCGGGATGATATGGGGGTAAACGAAGGACATCGTGGTTGTTTTGTTTAAACATTTCATCTATTACGTATTTTTTATTCACGTCTTTGTTTTTTTTTATTAGATCGTAAAGTTGTGGTTTACGCATGTCCTTTTCATATGGTATACCCTTTTCTAATAACCACGATTCCATTTTTGCCTTCTTGTCATTAGATGTAGGGGCAGGATCCATTAATTTGTTGTGGTACGGAGCATTATCGATAACCACCACCGAGTTAGGGCTCAAATTTGGAATCAGTTGGGTCCGTAACCATTTCTCATAATTTTTGAAATTCATGTCATCATGATAGTCTCCGGTTTTGCTGCCAGATTTGAACATTAGTAGCGCGTTCGGAACAAACCCTGCTTCTGACCCAGCGTGTACCATCACTATCCGCTGACCTTTTGATATCGGGCGCTTTAGTCCTTGAGCGGAACCATCTGACCACGCCTTACCTTTTGTATGTGATGAGTGGGCA